GTCTCTCTTTTTCTCTCTCTCTCTCTCTCTCTCTCTCTCTCTCTCTCTCTCTCTCTCTCTCTCTCCCACTCCATTCCTCTCTGAAATCAATAAAATAATATTTATTTTTTAAAAGGATCAATAAAAACAGTAAATGTCTCATGAAAAACTATCATAGCCAGAGGACAAAGGAATGAAGACTTTAAAATGCTGAAGGAAAATTGAAAAGCTCTCAAGGTAGAATTCTAAACTAACTGAAATATATTTCAAAACTGGCCCTAGCTTTTTGGCTCAGTGGTTTCAGTGTTGGTCTGCAGAATATTTATTTTTTAAAAGGATCAATAAAAACAGTAAATGTCTCATGAAAAACTATCATAGCCAGAGGACAAAGGAATGAAGACTTTAAAATGCTGAAGGAAAATTGAAAAGCTCTCAAGGTAGAATTCTAAACTAACTGAAATATATTTCAAAACTGGCCCTAGCTTTTTGGCTCAGTGGTTTCAGTGTTGGTCTGCAGCCAGAAGGGTCTTGGGTTTGATTATGGTCAAGGGCACGTACCTCAGTTGCATGCTCCTCCCTGGCCAGAGCCCTTGTCAGGGCATGTACAGGAGGCAACCAATCCATGTATTTCTCTGATATTGATATTTCTCTCTGTCTTTGCCTCTCTCTTTCACTCTCTCTAAAAATCAACGGAAGAATATCTTTGTGTGAGAATTAAAAACAAACAAATAAGCAAATGAAACAAATCAAACTGAAGCCTAGCTTGTGTGGCACAATGGTTGAGTATTGACCTATGATTCCATTCCTGGCCAGGACACAAGCCCAGATTTCAGTCTTGATCCCCAGTAGGGTGCGTGAAGGAGGCAGCCAATCAATGATTTTCTCTCATCATTGATGTGTTTTGCTCCCTCTCTCTCCTTTCCTCTCAATAAAAACATATTTAAATAAATAAATAAAATAAATGGTTGCTGGTTTGATTCTCAGTCCCTGCACATCAGGAGGCAACTGATCAATATTTCTCTTACACATCAATATATCTCTCTCACTCACTCTCCCCCTTTTTTTTCACTCTAAAAATCAATGAACATATTCTCAGGTGAGGATAAAGAACAGAAGATATATATCTATGTCATCTGTCTATACCATGGGAACAGAGGCACAGTGATTTTATCCCTAAGGAGTCACTGATTGCTCCCACATCCCACTTCCTGACCACATCCTGCAGCACATCTCATGCTGGGGAAGAAGAGGTCCCTGGGCATGGTGACCAGGACCCCAAGAAAGGCCTGGAGCTCTGAGGGCACAGTCAGCACCTTCTCCCAGGAGAAGCCCCAGAGAAAGGGACCTCCCCTCACCTCTTTCGACCTCCCTCACCTCTTGCCCTTTGTATGTGCAGACACCTCCCATATGCAAATGCCCAAACGGCCACCAGTACCAGATACACACAGTTGGTGTCCACTTAAATTCAGGGCTTCCTCGCCCTGGAGAATACTTTCTGGGGGAGGAGCACATCACCTGCAAGAGCATGACTCCCATGTGGCTCTTCCTCTTCCTGCTGTCAGCTCCCAGATGTGAGTGACTCAAGGGCTTAGATGTGAAGAGATGGGGATCCTGCATCTGAGTCCCAGGCTCACCCTGTTCTCTGTGTCCCAGGTGTCCTGTCCCAGGTGCAGCTGCAGCAGTGGGGCACGGAACTGGTGAAGCCCTCAGAGACCCTCTCCCTCACCTGCGCTGTCTCTGGTCACTCCATCACCAGTGCTTCCTGCTGGCATTGGATCCGCCAGGCCCAGGGAAAGGGGCTGGAGTGGATGGGGCGCATATGTAGTGATGGGAGCACTAACTACAACCCCTCCCTCAAGAGTCGAACCTCCATCTCCAGAGACACTTCCAAGAACCAGTTCTCCCTTCAGCTGAGCTCCGTGACCACCGAGGACACAGCCATGTATTACGGTGCAAGAGACACAGTGAGGGGAAGTCAGTGTGAGCCCAGACACAAACCTCCCTGAGGGAGGCAGCATGACTGGGCTGCATGGAGACACTCAGGACACCGGGGGGTGCTCAGGACCACAGAGCATGAGGATCAGCTCAGGAGCTGGGACTTGATTGGTATATTCTCTGATGATCTGGTCACTGGTTTTATTCTCCAGGAATAAATACTCTCCTCAGGGACTCACTGCCTCTCTCACTTATGCCTTACATTTCCTTTCACACCACCCCTAAGAGGAAGTCACTTACTTACTCTGCCCCATTGATCCGTCAGAAGGAGTCCTTAATATTTCCTTTGGTCTCTCCTGGAGACATTGCCATTTTAAGGAGGCCATTGCAAAGGTCATTGGGCAGTGACCCAGCAACAAATAACCTCGACTGTGCCAGCAAAGGGACAGTCTTCTGCCAGGAGCTTCTGGTGGATAAAACACATGAGGGCTTTACTCTAACAGAAAGGAGTTGGTAGAACTGATCTGTATTTTGAATTTCTAGAGGATAAGCAAATAGCCATATCTGAAATGAATAATACATGGAGTAGACTAACACTGCCGATTAAACATAAGTGAACCTAAAGAAGTGTAATGGAAACTAACCAAAATGGAACACAGAACAAATTTTCCAAAAAATAGTCAAGTGTTGGGAATGTACGAAACAATAAAGCAGTCAAATCTATATATACATGTAATTGGAATCCCAGAAAAAGGAGGGAGGGGGCACCAAATGAAATGTTTGGAGAAATTATAGCAACTAGTTTCTCAGAATTTGATGTAAACTATAAAGAGATCTAAGAACACCAAAGTACCCCAAGAAGAATGAAAATAACATTAAATCAAGGCACAATAAAGTCAAACTCATAAAATGCCAATGGCAGCAAAGAAAAAAACACACAAGTCAAGGAATAAGATTAATAAAAACATCAAAGGTCTCATGAAAAACTACCAAAATCAGAAGACAATGGACTGATGACTCTAAAGAGCTGAACGAATACTGAAGCATCATGAATGTAGAATTCTAAACTAACAGAAAATATATTTCAAAACTGGAAGAAAATGAAATTACAAAATATCTAATTTTGGGAGATGCAGCTAGAGTAGTGCTTAGAGGGAAATGTATAGCATTAAATGCTAATATATTAGAATAGAATAAAGATCTTTAAATCAATAACATAAGCCTCCACTTCAAAAAATTAGAAAAGGGTGAGAACCATTTTGGAGGTAGAGGTAAATGCATGTTCTCGCTGCCTCCTAAAATCACATGGAATGTACAACTCAAATAGCGAACAGTCATCATTCCAGACTAGGGAGGTAAAGAAGAAAGCACATCAAGACTGGTAGGAAGGGCAAAGATGGGCAACAGGCTAGTCCGACACTCAGATGTGGTTTGTGTTTAATCAGGATGGATATCTCAGCTGTGGAGGCCTCCTGAGAGAATGAAAGTGTCCCAGCCCCACACCAGAACCACACTCAGGTTTCCAGAGCTGGAAACAGAAGTCCTCAGAACTTCAGGTTATAAAAACCAGAAATAATTGTCTTTGAGTGACATGGAGGCCTCTGGAGACCCAGACTGTTCCTCTTAAAGGGCCAGCACAGGAATTTACAGGGTCTTTCTTCCTCTGATTTCCAGCAGTAGGTGATGGAATTGGGAGATCCAGCTACATATGGGGAAGAACTGGGTTGTCTGCCATTAGTGCAGGAACATGAGGTGGCTTTCTTCCAGACAGAGCTACTCCTAGGAGTCATTGTTTCTGTGCTGGGACCTCCCCCATTGCATAACTACCTCAAAGCCATATCTGAGGTTCCATCAGTGTGGCTCACACAGTTTGCTCTGCCCTGGTAATTCCCTGTGAGAACATGGCCCATCCAAAACTCAGCCCCACCCAAACTGTTTCCAACAGTCTTTCCATTTGAGTGCCTTGTCCTGGTTCAGGTTTCAGACTCTCCTAAAATCTCTCAAACAAGCAGCAGCTGGCATCATCATGCCCCAAACCTATCAATAAGAGGCCCAAGACCCAGCACTAGCACCAGCCTGCCTTGATTCACAACTTGTCCTTGTCTGGGCACATCCAAGCCCAATACAAGTAGGAGCCATCTGCAGACCCCCTTGTATCTCCTGCTTGGTGACCCCAGGCAGTGGCTTACTTTGCACTGCCAGGAGGCCCTATAGCCAGTGCACCTGGTGGACAGTTTCAGACCAGACCAGATTACAACTCTACACATCCAGGAGGAGAACGAAGAAGAGGGGAGGAGGAGGAGGGGAAGGAAAAGGAAAAGGAATAAGAGTAAGAATAAGAATAAGAATAAGAATAAGAATAAGAATAAGAATAAGGAGGAAGAAGAAGAAGAGGAATAAGAAGGAGAAGGAGCAGGAGAAGAAGAAAAAGAAGAGACGAGCAATGATTATGGCAAATAGTTTTTCAGAATTTGATGTAAACTATAAAGAGATCTAAGTTTTGCTCAGTGGATAGAGCATTGGCCTGCTGACTGAAGGGTTTCAGGATTCAATCCAGCCAGGGGCACATGCCAGGGTTCAGTTCCCAGTGGGCAGAATGGAGAAGGAAGCTGATCAGTGATTTTCTGTCATCATTGATGTTTCTATCTCTCTCTCCCTCTCCCTTCCTCTCTGAAATCAATAAAAATATTTTAAAAAACTAAAAATAAAATATGAAAAAATAATGGCAATAAATACATATCTATCAACAATTGAATCTAAAAACCAAAGTAATTAAACATAATATCTGATGAACAAAATAAACTGATGAATAAAATAGAACCGGAGGCATGGAAACATAAGACAGACTGTTGAATCTCAGAGGGAAGAGGGAGGAAAGGGTGGAAAGAGATTAACCAAAGAACTTATACACATATGCATTGCCTATGGACACAGATAGGAGAATGATGAAAGCCTGGGATGGGGTAGGATAGAAAATAGTTTCTCAGAATTTGATGTAAACTATAAAGAGATCTAAGTTTTGCCCAGTGGATAGAGCATTGGCCTGCTGACTGAAGGGTTTCAGGATTCAATCCATCCAGGGGCACATGCCAGGGTTCAGTTCCCAGTGGGCAGAATGCAGAAGGAAGCTGATCAGTGATTTTCTGTCATCATTGATGTTTCTATCTCTCTCTCCCTCTCCCTTCCTCTCTGAAATCAATAAAAATATTTTAAAAAACTAAAAATAAAATATGAAAAAATAATGGCAATAAATAATAAAACATCAAAAATATGAACAATAACATGGTGGTAAACGCATATCAACAATTGAATATAAAAAAAGGTAATTACATAATATCTGATGAACAAAATAAACTGATGAATAAAATAGAACTGGAGGCATGGAAACATAAGACAGACTGTTGAATCTCAGAGGGAAGAGGGAGGAAAGGGTGGGAAGAGATTAACCAAAGAACTTATACATATATGCATTGCCTATGGACACAGATAGGAGAATGATGAAAGCCTGGGATGGGGTAGGATCGGGGTGGATGCGTGATGTGGGTGGAAAGGGGGGAATATTGGTAATAATCTTAACATTAAAGATTTTAAAAAACAGAAAAGAAATTAGAAAAAGAAGATCAAACTCACCTAAAATCAAGCAAAAGGAAAGAAAAATAAAGATGAACAGAGATTAATGAAATCAAAACAGAAAAATTGTAGAGAAAAATGAATGATGCCAACAGCTGAATCTTTGAAAAAAATCAATAAAACTAACCAAATGCTAACAAGACTGACAAAAAGACAAAAGGCCAATATCAGAAATTAATGAGGAGATATTATCACATCCCCCAGTGCATTCTTATGAGACCGGCATTCTTGATGTACTCAGTACAAAGAAATAGTAAACTACTGGCTGAAATTTCTTGTTAACATATTTACTAAAATCCTCAACAAAATATTAGCCAACCCTACCAGCAATATAATAAAATCATACTACATCATGACAAAGTAGTAATAATCCCAACAACTCAAAGCTGATTCAATATTTTTTAATCAACCAATGTAATCCAACAGGTCAACTGTGTAAAGAAGAAAATTCACATGGTCATAAAAATTGATACAGAAAAGTGTGTGACAAAGCACAGCACTCATTCATGATAAAAATGCTGAGGGAACTTGGGATCAAGGGCACTTCCTCAATCTGGTCATGGAATTCCTGTAGCTAATATCATACTTGATTGTGGGAAGGGAAATGATTCCCCCTCATATGGGGAAATAGTCAAAAATGTCACTCTTACCACTTCTACTGAACATTGTACTTGATGTTTTAACAACTGAAATAAAACAAGAAAAATACATAGAGACATTCAAATGTGAATAGAGATACCCGCTGTCCCTACTTGTATGAGTCATATTCATCCATGAAAAAAATCAAAGGAATTGACTTGAAAATCATGGCTCAATACACAAAAATGGATCTATTTTGAGACTTATCATAACTGCAGTGGTGTTGCCCTTGTGGGGTTGGCAAAGTAGCAGATAAGGGGCAGAACTGAGTCCTTGTGGGAAACCATCCACAGAAACACAGCTTCTCACAGAGGTGTAGCCTCAAGAGGAACTTGGCCTCTCCAGCTGTGCCCGTCTCCCCCTGTGACACGTTTCCAGTTTTCCCTTGGTGGTTGAATTGGCATAAAATCCACAGCATAAGTGAACCACGTTGACGTAGTTGACATACACACGTCCAAACATGTGGAGAATTTTTTAAGAGTTGATCTGAGCCAAACCTAGGACAGTTGCAAAGAAGCAGGATCGCAGATGCCCCTGAGAATGCCAGTGTCAGAGTTGCTCTCACAGCTTCTCAGACATGTTTTGGGATTGAGGAGGAGGGAAGGAAGGCTTGCATGGAGGAGGGAGGGAGCACAGTGGGGGATGGAGATCAGGACACTTAACAAGAGTGTTCTCCTGAGGGGTGGTTAGGGCTTATTTTAAAGGCGTGTTGACCTTGATTCTCTAGAACAGTGGTTCTCAACCTGTGGGTCGCGACCCCTTTGTGGGTTGACCCTTT